TGTTTAGTAGCTAATGTTTTAATTCGTATTGCTCTTATTCAAAACGTGCAAGTTCTTATCACATTCATTTAAAACATACATAGTCCTGCATCAACATGTTAGTAAAATTAAGTACTGATAACTTATAATTATGTTGAAGTTCTAATATATAATTAGAAAATAAATGTGTTAAAAATATCTTTATAAAGACTATCATCATAAAGTTCATCATCAATAAGAGGACCATCATCATAAACATAATCATGGTATGAGGGAATAGGTAGTTAAGTTAAGGATGTTTGGTGTAATAACCCAGGCAAGGTAAGTAGATAGGATTAAAATTATAATGTAATAAATATTTATAATTGATTTTATCACATGGTGCAACTTATCGAATGATTTTTTAAGACAAACCTAAAGAAATTTCATTAGATGCATCATAATAAATTTTGTCATAGCATGACTATTAAATTAACTCTTTGCAAGATGTTGTACCCTCATGTATGTTTTTTGCTGATGATATTCCTCTTATTGATAAGACTGGAGAGTAAGTTGAAGGTAAACTTGAATTATGGAGGTCAACATTATAGTCTAAAGGTTTTCATTTGAGTAGATCTAAAACTGAATATATGGAGTGTAATTTTAGTAGTAATAGATCTAGTGGGGGGATTGTGACTTTGGGCGATCAAGTCATTAATAAGAGTACACGTTTTAGATATATTGGGTCTATTATTTAGAGTGATGGTGAGATAGATGGGGATATTATTAATAGACTGGGTAAAGAGAAATAGCTCTTCTGGTGAGCTTAAGCAATCTTTCTGGGAGCGTCGACTTGAAGCCCGACTCCTCAGAAAACAAGAGAGCCTGAACGCCTATCTGCCCGAGTACACCGAGTACTGAAGACAATTAAGAAGAAGGGCGATAGGCAGGAGCGAGAGTCTGATTCGGGCAGGTACAAAAGCAATAGCAGTAGTACGTGCTTCCCTAGTAGCAGGAAGGGAGGATAGGAATTAGTGCGCTACCTTCTCCCTAAGGCCTCCTCGGAATTCAAGTTGGATGGTCGAAGTGGGGGAAACATCAGGCTTGTGTGATAGAAAAGTCCCCCTCAAACTTAAGGAAAATTTCTATAAGATGGTGGTGAGACCTGCAATGCTTTATGGTGCAGAATGTTGGCCTTTAAAAGAGAAGTATAATATTAAGTTAAGTGTTGCAGAGATGAGAATGCTCGGGTAGATGAGTGACTTTGTTCTTAGAGACAGGATACGAAACGAGCATATGCGTAAAAAGGTTGGAGTAGCTCCAGTGGAAGATAAGGATAGAGAGAGTTGCCTTAGATGGTTTGGTCATATAAAACGGAGGCCTTCTGATGACCCGATTAAGAGAGTTGATTTATTAGATTTGGCTTATGTTAAGAAAGATAGAGGTTGACCTAAAAATACTTGGTTACAAAATATTAGAAATGATTTTTCTTTATTAGATTTAAATGAGAATTTGACCCTGTACAATGAAGTAAAAGAGTGCTAGTCTTATAGTTGGGGATGATTCAATGGCAGAGTTGATATTTAAAATTTTATATGGCCTCCCTTCTGGAGATTCTTCCTCTTGTAGAGTTTATATTTATTGCTTCATCTCTACTCTTTGTCTCTCTTTTTTTTTGCCTTCATTCATCCAACTTCTTTACGCCATTTATTTGCTCTACCTTAGCAATTCTTTTATATTAAATTCTTCCAACTTTTGACGCACTTTGTTTTTTTCATTATCAATTTGGTATCACATCTCACCTCAATCCAACCCCTAACCCATCTATTTTGACTCTATCTTCTATAGTATCGCAAGTAGGGTTAAGAATTTAGCTCAATGATTGAATCAATTTTTGGCTTGAGTCAGGACAAACTGGTCAAGGGGAGAGCCAATTTTTTTGATGCAATAAATCTTCCAAATTATTATGTCCTAGTTCTAGATCAAATCGAGTTAGCTCAAGATCAACTTTAAATATAAATATGAAAAAAGAAAAGTGGTTAGAAAGCTTGCATTATTTATTCATCCCATGGACGTTTATGCACAAATGATGTCCATAGAAAAGGGAATTATATGATTTCTAAGGAGTAAAATAATTATACAATAATTACATTGAATGGTTGCCAACAGCATAGAATAAAATATGTATTCTTACATTCCATTATACCCAGTCTTTGTGTCTTGAATGCACCAAATATCTCTTGAGGTCACCAATCTGTCCTATTAGGCCTTCCTTTCTTTTTGTCACCACATGTAGGAATACAAGAATGGAATAAATGAGCAATTATGCTTGAGTTGAATTTAGTTCTTTCTTGTCTCCACCAACTCATCGATCCATGGGATTTGTATTCTTAACATTAAATATTATGCATATATTCTTTAATTCAATACATACATATATTTATGTATGAGTCATCGATTAAAAAAGCGGTCGAGGCGTCTGAACAGAGGCGCGACTCAATTTGAGGCGCTAACCCGGCGCCTTGAGGCTTAAGCCTCAATGTATTCGACGAGGCGTGCGATTTTTTTCAGCGAGGCGTAACACCTCGAGGCAGCGTGATGCGACGCCTCATTAGGATTCAATGGAGCTCACAGCGAAGAATAAATTCCTTATCTTTCGAGCTTGCTGCTTCCGCTTCGTCCCTTTTGAGAGCTGCTTCGTGTTCTACCACAAGTAAGTTCTTCGATCTGGCAGGAGTGCTCGAGAACGACCTTTCTTCCTGTTCGACCGCTGGTTTGAGTTCGTCACGCTTCATGTGAAGTCGGAGCTCTAACCGAAGGTAACACTACCTGTTCGACCACTGTTTAAACTTTACCTGCTTCCTCTTTCGTATACTTTGGCTTCGACAACTGCAGGTAATGGGCTTTCTTCCTTTGCTCATGGAGTTTAAAACAACAAGAATTATTTTTATGCTTCTCTTTTAATGGCTAAAATTTAGCGTCTTAAAATCATTGCATGTCTCACTACTAGGTACATGCTCGGTACCGACCGGTACATGCTCGGTATCTTTCCATACAAACAACTTACGAACTTTAAAAACAAGCAGAATTTCAAAATTATTCTTATAATAAAATTTTGTTCCGGGGGCGCTGCCCCCAGAAATCCTCGCAGGGGCGCTGCCCCTTAACCCCGCTAGGGGGCAGTGCCCTCTTGGACCCCTGGCAGACCTGTATATTGTTGTATTAATGTTGTTTTATTATTGGTAGTACAAATAATTGTTAAAACAAATCTTCAAATTCATAGTTGACATAATATTTTGTTATTTTTTGTCATTATTTATAGTTTTAAATTAATTTATTTTAATCGTTTTGAGGCTTACGCCTCGATCCACCTCGAGGCTTACGCCTCGCCTTGCTTAGAAAAAATGCCTCAATTCCCGATTTCGCATTTTAAAACCTTGGTATGAGTATATAAGTACTATAAATATACATATATGTATATTAAATATTTTTTAAAAATAAAAAACAAAGAAAATTTGTAATTAATTTTGAGTTGATTCAAAATTATGTTGGTTCTATCCACGAACCTATTTTTAGCCATGTTATTTATGTTTGAGCCAATCTCATGCATGTGGGCTTCAAAATTTCATGTATGGCTCTTTTGAGAGGGTTTTTTATTTAGGTTCAAATTTGGAGCAGACAAACTAGATTCCAAATAAAACACTACCTTGTAATTTCACCCTTATTTTATGATAACTTATGATCTAGTTTTAGGTTTCTCATAGGCGCAAATCCTTATAGTTAATTACTCATTACATTGATGAGAGAAAATTTTCAATTAAGACTAGTCATTCAGTGACAAGAGATCTTTTGAGAGTGACTATAGTGATTGTGACAAGAGGAAGGACAAGGAGGTGTTATGGTTTGGTGGATCGACAACAGCTGTAGTTGCCTCACTATATTGCTGGCAAGGAGGTTGGCTTGCAGTGGTCAAGGACATTGTTGGTGAGCTTCCAAGGAGAAATGCTGCAAGTTTTTGATGATGTGCAGATGAGATGAAGCCTTTAGTGGAGGGTAGTAGGAGCTCCGGGCGCGGGATGTGTAGGTTTGGAATATGTGGAAATTAGAAGGATGAGGTATGCTGCCTTTGTAGTGGAAGGTGGGTGACCATGAATATCATGCTCAAGCGAAGCAGAAGTATCAGGATTAGTTGTTTCAGGAAAAGCGATGAGCAACACACATGTTTTTTGTGTGGAAACGAGCAAGTGAATTGGAGAATAAGGTGGATCATGATTCACAGGTGTGAATTGTGTGCTCTTGGCAAGATGTGCATGAACGAGCATGTGAAGGTAGTGGGTCTACGAGTGGTGTGGGCGCTTATAAAATTTGGAAGAGGGTGACAAAAAGACTTATGTGAGTTATGGTAGATGGAAAATACAAGATTTGAGGTTTTCATGATGTATTTGATGTGAGATCACCGTTGTTTTATGCAGATGGGCTGTAGAATTGAGCAATTTGGCTGAAGAAAGATAAATCTTACCCTGATTCCAAAGTTAATGGTTGGGGAAGAAGTTTTGCATTCATGATAACTTGGTGCGAATGTACACAACCTGTTTCTCAATAGCACTTAATTGACCTCAAAAATAATGTTAGTTCATCAAAAAAACCCATTAATAGTAAATAAAATCTAACCCTATTTAAAAACCAAGTTCAAATATATTATTCCAGAAGAAGATAATTCAACTTAATTAAATAATTCAAACAAGATATATAAAATATAAATTGGTGTAAAAAGGCATGAAAATTGATCTAATTCAACTCGTGTTCATCTCATCTCAACCTCTTTTCATTGGTTTATGAAAATCTGAGTTTTTTTGGACTTAATTAGCTGATTTGTATTGTGGTGTGGCCCAAGCATTCATTTTCTTAAAAAACTACACATTTTTAAGTGCATCTGATGATGCATTCTGAAATCACGTATGCTTCATTGGATCTAATATGATGATTCTACATGTGTTTTTAATTTATTAGATTTTCTAATTATTTCTTGTTTATCTTGAAAGCGTGCCATGCAAACTATTACAGTGGACCATCACAATCCTGGAGGAGGTCATTGGTTAGCCGCTGGCCTATCTCCACAGGTCGGTTAGCAAGTGCTTTTTATTTTTATTAGGTTCAATTAACTGAATAATTATGGCATAATGTCATACAGTAGAATATTATATTATTATGCAGTTTTCTTGTAATTGCGAATTTTGTTTTATTTTGATTTGAAAAATTCAGCTGACTTTGCAGGTTCAAAATGTGAACAGATGTTTTGGCCAGAACAGTCCTCAATTTCAGATGGTGTCCTTAACCCATGGTGGTAGTTATGGTAGCATGGGAAGTCATGGAAGCTACATTGATAATTTTGGTATTGGAAGTAGCTATGGAAGCTACGGAGATGCTAATAATAATATGCAAACATATTTCTCACCGGTTGGCCCATATGGTATGAATGTTCAAGCTCAAGTTGGTTTACCATTCATAGGTACTAGTCCGGATACTCGGCGTAGACCTCAGAGATGTCATGGAAGTTTATTTGGTGTACCTCCTCCTACTGGAAATCTTGGGCCAATGTCTGTTGGAGCCAGTCCTTCCCAATTTACACCACCATGTTCCCAAATACAGATTACAACTGTTTCTCCGGGAAAGTATGGCTCTTCTCCTGCACGAGGCAGCCTTCATGGTTCACCCTTGGGAAAGGCCACTGCGGTTGCACAATTTAATCGGAGAAGGGCTTGCGGAAACCCTGGTAGTTCAACTATGCAGTTTCATGAAAGTGCACCTCAGCATTGGCAGGGCTATCACGAGGGAACTGGTAGTAGTCAGCCTGATACTTATTCTCATGTGCAGTTTTCTTCTCGCGGTTCATATCCATCTTCTACTCACTCGTACTGGAGGCAACAAATGAGTGCTGGCAGGGGATCAGGCCAACCTATGAACAGTCACATTGCCCATCCTATTCATAGCACTGTCATCTCACCTCCATCACATTCCACTGCAGCTTCTGGTGATAAACATGAGAGCAGCTCATTGCTACCTGATCCTGCAGATTGGGATCCCAATTATAGGTATCTAAAACTTTTTTGGTGTTTTAATTTTGGCTAAATTATTTTGCTATGGAAGCTATAACTTGTGAGTTCTTATAGCTGGATTTGTCTATTGTTTATGCAACATAACCATTGGTAAAAATAGAGCTGGCTGTGAGCAACAACCATTCCTCATTTACTGTACTCTTATCTTCAACTGTTTTCGCATAATTTTGTTTCATTATTTTGGATTGAACTGAAACACGAAGACTTGAGAGTTTTCTGTAGTCTGTTGAATTTTCTTCAACTTTTTTTTCTCTTGGAAAATATTCTGTTCTTCCAAACAGTCAAAGTTAGGATTCCTATGACGAAATGATAGTTAATGCTACATGAACCAAACAACATGTTGTTCCTAGATGGTTATTGATAGTAGTATTCATTTTTGACATTACATTTTAAGATAGTATTATTCAAATAATGATATTAATTAGTGCATGTTATTCCTATCAGCAGCACTAATTTTTTACTGCATTTGTTTTATAATACCAGAACGGAGAAATAACATGGAAGCTGAATACCCTCTTTCAATATATATATTTTATCTTATCTTAAAGAAATATATTGATTTTTTTGTGTAAACTATGCAAGAGTTATTTTCTCTTAAGCACAACAAATCTGGCTGTGAGTTTGGCTGAGTTCCTTTTTGGTTTATTCCATTTATATTCTCATGACTATGGAGAAGCTGACTGGTTTTTAGCAATAGTTGGATTGCATTTTTTTTGACCTAGAGGGCATGCAATTCAAATCATGGAAACAATCTCGTTGTAATATAGAGGTATGATTACATACATTAACCTCTCCCCAAATTCTGCATTGATTGGAGCCTACTAGATACATCTTTTTTGGGTAGCCTCCAGTTCTTCAAATCAAGTAGAATCTAGCAAAAAAGAAATGTTTTTAAGTAAATTCATTAAACGGTCTTTTAAATTATTTCTTAGGGCCTCAAAATTTTGTCCACTTGCTCTTGATAAAAAAATGTCCTCTTTCTCTTGATAAAAGCTACTTCCAAGATGCATAATGGGAGAGGCAAATTAGAAGTTCAAAGTTGAATAAAATTCTTTATGGTGTAAAATTGGTAGTTTTATTAAGAAAACTATTGAAGTTTTAGGGGAATATAGAGATAGGTGATAGTGTGGTGCACAAGTATAGAAACTTAGTGGTGAATTTAGTGGTCATTTTTTTGGCTAAAAAAGAAATGCAGTGTAAAAGGAGTACAATATAAAATGAATACTTTGGAGTTATTTTGATGTGTAAAGTAAATTCAGTTGAATAAATTTTTATTTGATTTGAAGTAAAATAAATATAGCGTAAAGTTTAAAGATGGTGGTGACTGACAGATGGTGGTGGCCGATGGCGGTGGTGGTTGACGGTGGTGGTCAGAGGGTGGCGACAGCCAAGGTTAAGACGTGCGGCCGGCGATGGGTAGCAGTGGTGGTGGTCAGCGATGGGTGGCGGCGGCGGTGGTGACCGACGACGATCAAACGAGTTTGCTTGCGATGTAAATTTGGTTTACCTAAAAAATGAACTGCAATGATTTACACTATTTTATTTTGTATTCCTTTTTCATCCAGCCAAATAACAAAATTTTCAAAACTCCCGCATTTAGAATACTTTACTCCCTTATGTAATCCAACCAAACAATCGCTTAGTGAGAAAAAACGCTACTAAAGAAAAGAAATGTTCTTGTAAATAATAGAAATGACTTGTTGAAGCATTGCAAATATGAGTACTATAAAATATAAAAATTAAAAGGAAGATAAATGGTTTTCAATGAGTTATGGTTAAAATTAGATGCATCAAAAGTGAAGATAGTAGGATGTCAATTAAAGATGAAGCCATGCAGACTTCCAAAAAAGTTTGCAGTGATATATTGAGAAGTTATTTAATAAGAGAAATCTATGGAATCTTATCTTAGCTTTGAGGATTATCGAAATTATTACCTCTAGTCCACTTACATAGAAGAATGCTCGAGCTATTTTAATTACAGGATATCTTGGTCTACTCTGCAAATGCTAGAAACAGTTACAATGTTAAATTACGAATGAATTCAAGATGATCTTTCTTCTGTTAATTTTGTTTTTTTGATATTTAATCTGTTATGCTCATTTGCTTAATGCTTCATTGTTAAGAGTACTGCATGTAAACTTTTTACATCATATTCTGGAATAGAATAAGTAGGGATATCAGAACTTGATATTTATATTTTCCATGCAGTGATGATCTTCTTTTGCAAGAGGATAATTATGATGTGAGTTCATTATCTTTGGGAATGTCTAATGGCTTGCGGTTGGGTAACATAATGGATCCTGCAACCTTAACAAGTGGAGTAATCAGATTAGGCCACATTTCTAATCAAGCATCTACAAGTTCTAGTTCAAGATTATCGAACCAAAGGTACGTGACAACCTTTTCTAGAAATCTGGCATTATGGTGGTATATGAATTCAGTAGTTTCACCAACCTTCAGAATGATGTCATGATATATGTTAAATGTTTAAAACTTCTACTAATTATAGGTTAAAAGGTTAACTTTGAATGGTATGTTTGTAACATAAATAGCTATACTAACATGGATGTGCTATAAACTGTGATGAACAAATGTACCTGTTCATGCTAAAGAGTGTAGTAATGGCATTGAAGGTTAAAGCAAAGTATTCAATGCGCTGAGATGGAATTTCACAGAAAAATTAGCATGAGATGCGGTGGTGATTTAGCGAAGTGCTCTATTTAACATGAAATAGCCATGGCGCTCAAGGCGTAGATGGCCCATGATATGGTTTGAATTTATTAAGAGGCTCTTTTTAGTTGCTCAACTCTCAGCAAATGCTACTCTTCGTTGAAATAGATGAGTAAGAAGAATCCACAAGTCTAGCTTAATTGATTTGGATGTAGTTCCGGTAGTACTTGGCAGTGATTGTTCTTTATGGTTGGCACCAAGAGATAGTACGACTATAATTTATTAGTAAATGTTTGCAGATCTTGTCCTTCAGGAGCCCTAAAACTATCTGACAACAAGAGGAATTTTAAAGAAAAATTACAAGAAATTGTTATCAAGAATGCATAACATCAATGACCTTACAGCGGCAAATAATCTTTGCAGGCTGGAATTATTTCTGACAGCGGAAGGTGGTTGACTGACCCAGTTACAGGCCAGAATTCCCTGTTGCCAGCCCTCTATCCTTTCCAAGGAAGTTAGTCCCCAGTTACCAAGCAGTTGAGCTTATCCCAATTATTTCCATCCCCTTCCGACCCCTGACCTTAGGTTTCAAAACCCTTGAGTTTGTACAGCCAGTTTCTTAGTTGCCTTGCAGCGGTTCTGAATTTGCTAGAATTTACTGCTGCTAAAAAATTTTGCCCAAAGGGAAAAACCAGTAGATCAACTGTTCAAAAAGAAACATGATTGCTAAAAGAAAAAAAAAGAAAAAAAAAAAAGGAAAACATAAAGCTTGGCGCGGAATGTTTCTAGGCTCAAAAGATGGCAGACCAAGCCTCAGAGAGTTTACTGTTGCTTGAAACTTTGCTATGGTTGAATAGAATGTTCAGGAAGCCAAGATTGCTGTAATGCTAAACTGTTTTCTCTGCCCCACTCTTAGTGTGAACCCCAGACTTGCAAGAACAGCTCGTTTCCATTTCCACACTTCTATTTATTCTCCCTTGTCTTGGCAAAATATTAACTAGAAATGCGAGAAGAAAGTTGTTGGTCAACTTCTTCGTGGAAGAATTTTTTAAGTTTCTTGGACAGCCGCCAAGAAGCCCGACTTTGCTCAGCCGCTACCACTAAATCCTTAGTTGTTAGAAACTGTTGCTTCCAATCTTAGACAGCCGTGAAAGATGGCTTTTGGAGTTCTGGTGTTGATGGTGGTGGCGTCTCGGACTCAACTACAATCGCATTCCCTCTCCACCTCTCCAACAAAAAGAAAATTCTTCCCCAAAATCAGGATAACCTAAAACTCCACAAAAAAACCGAGAAAACATAAGAGAATGTGGTTGTAAATAGAAGTCCAAGCTTCCCCAAAACAATAAATGCAAAATTATGAAAATATCATACAAAAAAGAAACATATAGCAATCCCCACATAGGAAAAATGACATAAATAACCAGATTAACTATCCTTATTACTTGCATCATTTATTAAATTATATCATTCTCCTTGGGTTGGAGGAGATTCATCCTCGAAGTTTTGAATAGTTTCTTACTTATAATAGGGTGAAATATTCGCGACATTGAAGGTTGCAGACATGCTTGTATCTCTCAAAAAGTCAATCTATTGGGCATTTTCTCCAATCTGTTTGATTGATGTAGGATCATTAGCCTTGGTTTAAGTTTTGCAAATGGGCCCAATTTTTAAGCTGGATATGTTAAAAGGTATAATCTTAAATTGTTTCCATTTCTCACAAAATCTCTATTATTGGGATATGGTTCCTTTGATCATCTCAAGCCCAATCAACTTCAACTGGACAACACTGAGGAGAGACTATTTTGGCTAAGGGCATCATTGATTCCATCTTTGATAAACTTGCATGGGAAGGTTTCATTTTTTCACCATCATAGGTGAAATGATGTTCTCATAGCTTCCTCCTTCAATGTTCATATCGCACACTTTCCCTTAGGTGCATCTGTATGGAATATGTTGTGGTATATCCACTTTTGGTCATTTTCAATAACGACAATAAACAGTTATTTTCAATAACGACAATCAACAGTTTTGGGACACTAAGCATCTCTCCTTCATATTCATGCAACAATTGCTCGTCTTGTGGTTTTTGCACTTCTTCTTCTTCGTCGTCTTTTTTTTATGTACTCCTTCAAATAAGTGAAATGACTCATCGATTAGGTTAATCTTAATTGATGTGGATAAACCTCAAACAGTTATATAAGTTAATGAGTGTTGACCTCTAACCTACAACCAAGGAAAATAAACAAAAAAAATCAAATCAAATATAAAATACCAGTGAATCTGGCTGCCCATCCTGCAAATCCTGCAAAAATTCCGTTGCCAGCTACAGTGTGTCATCCTACGACTTTGCAAATGGCGCCGAATCCAGCGACCATCCCTCGCACGTGTAAGTCGCTTTGATTGCCGCCCGTTTGCGTCCATAAAAAGGAGATGAACTCAAGCCTTCGGGCTACTACTTCCCTTCCCACTCGTGAAAGCTCCGACCCCCAGCAGCCCCGATTCCACTCGAGACCCAAGCCGACATCCTCTACTTCACGACCCAAACTAGCGACCGAACTCCTCCATCTGACCTTCGGTCCTAATCCTGATCAAAGCCGACCACTGCATTCTCCGATTGCATCTCACACCTCTAATTCCCTCTAAGCCCCGACGTCAACCTCAAGCCAACGATCGACCCTTCCACTGTCGAACTCTTTGACCTGCTCTGACATCACCCGACCTCCTTTCTCCAGGCCGAAACTAAACCTCTAGTCCGACCCTTGCTAAACCTCTCGATCCTTTTAATCCACATAGAGATAGAGAGGAAGCTTTCTCCCTACTTCTACTCGACGCCTCATCCGCCAATCCCTCCCTAGTCGAAGCCACCTCCTTCGACGACATCCCCTTCTATTGGATCAGAAGCCACAATCGGAGCTTGCTGCTTGCGAAGGTAGCCATCTATCTTGCTTTCGCGCGCTTCTTTCATCAAATCCCGTAAGGGATTTATGATAAAAGAGGGCAACCGAGGATTTAACTCACTGTAAGATTAAACGGTTGCCTAAACCCTCTCAAATCCCGCTTGAATCCTGTGTCAGATCTTTCATAAATCCTATTTGACGGTATTTATCTCAAAACCTGCTCGGATCTAGCATAAATCCATCTTTTATTATTATTATTAATTATAATTGATTTAGTTAATTATGGTTAATTTTTTAACTTTAATTAATTACTACTAATTATAATTAATATCATTTAATTATAATTAATCTCTATTAATTATAGTTATTTTTATTAATTATAATTAATTTTAGTTAATTATAATTAAAATTTTTATTAATTATAATTAATCATAATTAATTTGTTGATTAATTATTGTTAAATATAATTAATTTTAAATTAATTATGATTAATTTTGGTTAGCTACAATTAATTTTAGTTTATAATAATTATTTTTTTAATTAATTATTATTAATTATAATATTTTCTCATTAATTATAGTTAATTCTAATTAATTATTAATAAATCTTCTTTAATTATAATTACTTATTATTAATTATAATTAATTTTGCATTAATTACATTTTAATTTTATTAATTATAATTACTTTTCATTAATTATAATTAAGTTCGTTTAATTGTAATTGTTTGCCAATAATCTATGTTGCACCGATACGGATATGGCGACACGGATACGACACAATACGGATATGGGTCACGTTAATTCTTAAAAATTTAGGATACAGGTACGGTGAGGACACGGCATTATAGCTTATAAATCATACATAAAAATTAAAGAAACAATCAAAGCATAATATTTGAAATTACAAAAAAAAATGACAACAACATCATTTGTAGCCTTGTAGTTTATCATATCAAAATATAAGTAAGTATTAAATGTCTAGTACAACAACAAAAGCATAAACATAAATTTTCTAGCACATAAAGTTTCAACTATTCAATAGAAGGAATGATATGATTAGCTTCTTCAATGGTTTGTCTTTGAACTTCTATATCATCTTCAAAAATATCATAGCTTCTAATTTTGGCTCATCAAGTGAAAGATTAGTAATTTCTAATATTCCCATATAATCAAGAGACTCAAATTCATCTCTGAAATGAGAGAACCTTGCTCACAGCCGCGAAAGTAAATATAACACATCTTTTTTTTCGGATTTCTTTTTGTTTTTCAACAGACACGTGTATCGGATACGCTGTCCTTTTGAAATTAAATAGTATTTTAATTGGATACGGCTTTGGCGTATCCGACACGTATCGGTGGCGTATCGGAGGTGTATCCATGTATCAGATACAACACGCCTTCATAAATAGGAGTATCGGTGCAACATAGCCAATAAGAGAAATGCAAAAGATCTTCTCTTGCCTCGATCTACGAGCCGACACCACCTCGTCGGTCACCAGGTATATTATCTAAATTAAAACTCCGAGAGCCTACTTTCGTCTTTTGTAGCCGGACCAGAAAACCGCCCATACACACCTTTATTGTGCGTGGTGGGATGTGACCCCAGTGCGGCCTCGACGAAGCGGGTAATCACCTAAAAGCCCCATTTCAAAGTTTGTGACGCACCGACAAATTTCATATACATGCTTTTATTGCGCGTGGTGGGATAGGAACCCGGTGCGACGCTTACGATGGGGGGCGGGATCACTTTATAAGTACCCCGACAGGGGGGGGGGGAAATCAATGGAATTTTTAAAAAGGTATCATCCGAAGACCCATAA